AAACTTATGGACATTACCATAAATAACACCAAATATTGCTATGAAAAGTTTTGACCTGCCAGGTGTGCATGTTTATAACTCCAGCACCTGATAATATCTGTGTGTTTCAAATATGAAAGGATGTATGAGGACAAACTTGGATGATGAATCTTGTTTCAATGTCTTTCCTTCCATCTTTTTGGTTTTATAATCTATGACAGCAAAGTTTTCATCTCCAATGACTATCTTTACATTTTTGAAAGTAGTAATGTGGGCCTAGTTAACTGGAGAGGTAAACCTTCACTGTATCTTCAGAAGAACCACAGAGATACGGTATGGGACATTCCTTATGCCCCTGGCAGACAGCTTTCAGAGCTCAGTATGTATGTGCATATCTGGAGTCCCTGTCTCCTTTGTGGCAAAGGTCCACATCTCCAAGGGCTCCAGGGTGAGAGTGCATTTGTCAGCGTTGAGGGTGTGGCCTCATGTTGTCACCTTGCTGTCCTCAGAGCAGCCTTTCTCCTTCCTAACACTCTTCTGGGCAGGAGCCATCCTGCCAGGCCCAGGATGGAAAGCAAGTGTCCAAGAGAATGTGGGAGAAGCCAAGCTGTGGTCCCCGGTTTCTAACTCCGAAAAGAAGCTACGATGTGCTATCATGTATCAAGTTTTTTCAGTCTGGATGGGCCAGTTCCCCTGGTGTAGTGATTTTGTGTGTGTGTGTGTGTGTGTGTGTGTGTGTGTGTGTGTGAGAGAGAGAGAGAGAGAGAGAGAGAGAGAACATGTGTGCACATGTATGTTTAAGACAGTGTCTTACTATGTTGACTGGCCTGGAACTCGCTCTGTAGACCAGGTTGGCCTCAAACTCAGATCTGCTTGCCTCTGAGTGCTGGGATTAAAGGTGTGGGCCACCAGGCCTGGCTATATAAACAAAATCTTTAAAGCAGTGGTTCTCAACTTCCTAATGTTGAGACCCTTTTAATATAATAGTTGCTCATGTTGTGGTGGCCCCCAACCACAAAATTATTTTGTTGCTACTTCGTAACTGTAATTTTGCTACTGTTATGAACAATAGTACAAACCCCTAGAGGGGTCTTGACCCACAGGTTAAGAACCACGGCTTTAAGGTGTCCTAAATTGACGATTATAAACTTGCTGTGCGCTAATGTGCTAGGAGCTAGGACTGTAAAGAGTAAAACATTAATCCCTTCCCACCAGATTAGCTGTGGGGTGACAATCAGGGAGGCACCAACAGGGCAGCCTGGCTGTGATTCACAGTGACGATTTAGGTCCAGGGAACTGAGTATGTTTTGGGGGAAACCCAGATAAAGTCGACCAAACTCTCTGAAGGAAAGTAGAGTGTTAAGGGGGCTTCCGAGAGGAAGGGACCTATGAGCTGAGTGCTAAGGGTAAGAGGGGCCGGAGGAAAAGTGCATGCCCCACAGGCTGAAGAGTAAGGTGGAGGGGGGGGAGCTAGGTAGAAAACGGAAGTTAGGAAGGCAGACCCCAAGTGACTTAGGGAGTACTCAAGTTCTTTCTGTAATCATTCTATGTCTCGGCCAAATGCTGCTTTGGGCCACAGTGAATCATTCATTAGGATTTCCTTCTCAGCAATGTCCCACGGAACCTGCAGCCAGTTAGTACTCACCAGCCAGCCTCACTCTCCATGAGTAATGCTGGTTGGCAGGGTTGGCAGGCTCGGCACGGCCGGGTAAGGCTCCCAACAGGAGAACCTCAGCCTCCATAGCTGGGCTCGGTGGGCTGGTAACTGTTCTTAAGAGCAGAGTTTTCTGGTGTGGGATTGATTTCCCAGGGTTTGACTTCTTCCAATAGTCTCTTTTAACAGCTTGCCCTGGGTAAACCGCAGGGACTCAAACAGCTTACCACTTAAGAACTGAGTAGAGGCAAGAGAAGTGACTCCACATCTCATCTGCTAAATGGATGTAATCATATCTACCTCACAGGGTTGGTAGAAGAATGAAAACACCCAGAAGAGCCGGGCAGAGTGAGGACCTGATGCTAACTGGCATTAGTTTCTATGTCACTACTATTCTGTCATTTGTCACCGTTCATCCGCTGGTACAGAGCCCTGCAAGCCCAATATGTAGTGAATCCAAACAGTATACAGCCATAGGAACTTATGGCCAAATGCATGTCTTTCTGGTTTTAAAATTATTGTTACTATTATTTTACACTCTCAGGTGACATTATCTTTTCCCATCCTTAGCTCTAGGCCAGGAATAAAAAACTTAGTTCCCTTCCTCTTTTTAACTATTGCTGTAAGCTGTGAGGAAGAAATACAAACTTTGAAACAACTCAAATAGGTTTTGGTTGTTTCTCTTCTCCAGTTCAGACAGAAACCATGCAGCCACCTGCCTATCGACATCACTGTCATTAACTGCTGAGTGAAATGAATACTTTGAATGTCAAGGACGTTCAAATGTCCAGAGAGCAACTTTCATTTTTAAAAAAGGCCCTTAAACAATGACAGAGTTGCCCCTAACCACAAGGACAGACATATTGTTGTTCAATAGTGTGAACAACACTTACATAAAATATGTAGCATATACATTTTTCTCTAGAAGCCTCAGCCATGAATATTCTTGCATACCTCTTAAAAAGAATCTCCAAACAATTTCAAAACACTGAATTTTAGACATTCTAAGCACAGGAGCAGTAATCCTTTGATTAGTTATGAGTGATTAAGTTCCAGGTTCTCTATGTCCCTCATTATCCCACGCCTTAAACTCAAGATTACAGACATGAGAGAACTCTCCTATTTGTAAAGTGATGGCATTAGACGAAAACAAGAGTGCTCTGGGGGAAAACTGATAACCTATGGCCTACAGAGTGATTCCTACCCATGCCCTTTGGACAGAAGTGCAGGGCCACAAACATTGAGCAACACTGACCACCCAACCAAAAGATGCTAGGTACAAAGTATTCAGATAAGCACGTCCAGCTCAAACGCGTTGTATTTCCCAAGGCTTAAACAGCTTTGAAAAGCTTCCCCTTAGCCATATTTATTTACAGTCTCACACTATAGCGCAGGTTGGCCTGGAACTCACTTTGTGTAGCCCAGGAGAATGGTCTTGAATTCAGGGTACTTCCCCTGTCTCAGCCCCCTAACATTTTGGTTTTGGTACATATTTTGCAGCACTATGGTTCCCTTTATGTGAAGATTTTGATCTAAAAATGCAAAACAAGAAAATACTGCATTTCTTTAAAAATGAAGGCTTGGAATAAAAATGTTTAAAGTAAAAGGCATTCCAGGCATATGTCTCAGGGGCAGAGTGCTTGCCTAGTATGCAGAGGCTCTGGGTTCTATCCCCACTGGGGGATGGGAGAAGGCAGCTGAGTGGAGTAACACTGGGAAGGTACAGGCAAGATCACTGCAGCATGTTCCAGGCCAGCCTGGTGTATGTAGTAAGTTTCAGGCTAGCCAGGGCTACATAGTGACTCCATCAGTAACAACAAACACAAACAAACAAAAACCAGACACTGATGTAAGTGCTTAGCTACAAATCTGAACAAAGTTGCCAAGGTCTCTGCTTTCCCGTACCTTAAATTCCACCTGGGAAAAGACAGACAAGGGACATCCATCAGGCTCTCACACCGAAAGAATCACTACACTGTCATACCCAAAAGGAACCTCCCCAAGCAGTTTAAATGAAGCTCAGGCCTTTCAGTTATTATACATAAGACAAGGACTATTTTAATGTTAAGATAATGGGAAAGAAGATTTTCTCTTGTCCACAGAAGCACTCCTTTTTGTTCTCCAAATTTGCAGCATAAATAACTTCTCTAATTCTTCTCATCAGGGGGCTAGGCTTAAAAGGGCACACAATGGCAATGAACCAAAAATGGGCTCTGGACAGGACAGACTGTTCTGCTGGCTTGAAGACTGCCTGAACACGTTCAAAGGAAAGGCCAAGGCAAGTATAAAAGGTTAAGTAGGCATTGCTCCTAGTTAGTACGTGCTCCAGGTAAGTTTCTGCAGTACTCAAGGAGAGTGCCTCAAATCTGCTTTCTTGGGTGAAAGGTTTCTCTTGGCTCAGGGAAGAATTAGGAGTTACTAGCTCCATTTAGGCCCTCAACCTTCTCTCAGCACATCTCAGTTCAAGATGACACATTTGTCATTTTTTTTTTCTTTTAAGCGAAGTCACTCCTCTCTGTGTTGCTCACAGCTGCATCTCCAGCAACTGGTCCAGTGCCTGGCTTGGAGAAACTGGGTTACGAAATATTTAAGGGACCAAAGGGCCGACTGAGATGGAGAGAAAGATTAATGGCTCCCAGTCAGTCAGCTGAATCTCCCAAGGGCTTAAAACAAAGAAAGAGCTCAGCTCCTTCCCATCCAAAAGCCAAATATGTCTGACACGGAGGGAAGGATGCACTACGCCAAGGTCACAGATGCAGGAAGAAAGGCTAAGTCTCGGCACCCGGAGAACCTCGCTCCATATGGCCACATTTCCCTCGGATACACACGCAGCCGTCAGCTTCCACGCAGCACGGTCAGATATTGCCCTCTGGACCCCGACAGGTGGGCCAGCTGCCCCAGAGGGTAGCTGGTCAAGGGCATGCGCGCCCCCCAGCGCCACAGCCAATCGGTGACACGCAGCTCCGGCACCATGGCCAATCGGCGAGAGGCTGGCCCGGCGCCGCCGCCCACGTGCTCACCCCTTGCCCCGCACCCCACTGCGCGGAGTCAGCATCTTGGACCCCCATCACCCGCTAGAATGGGGATCCGGGTGCAGCGGAGAGCCACAATTCCCGTCCCCGGGGACTGCGCTGGCTCGAAGTCCAGCGATGCAGGGGAGGGAGGGATGATGGGTCCTGAGGGGTCACCGCAAGGCGCGGACCATCAGCCCTCAGTCCCGAGGCAGGGACCCCTTGGGAACACGGGAGAGTGAGGGTGCGTGCGTGTGCTAGCACGCGGGGCCGGGTGCAGGTCTCGCAGCGCCCACAGCTCGGCTGGGCAGGGGCAGGCCCGTGGTCCCGCTCCATCTCGGTATCCCTCGGCTCACCTGGCTCTGGCAGAGGCTGCGGCCGCAAGGCCTGGGTGAAAGGCGGCAGCCACCCCGGAGAGGACGCGGCTGGAGTGCAGCAGGGCCATGGTGGGTGGCAAGGCGGCAGTGGACAGAGGCAGAGCCGGGAGCACGGGAAGCGTCCGCAGGAACCGAGGCGCGGGCTGCTAAAAGGTGAGGACACTGACTTCCCTGGGCGTGGCTAGAGCGGCGGGAACGAGCCTTGTCACAGCGGCCCCTGGCGGTCCGGGGCAGAACGAGGACGCCTCCGTGGAGGTCATGGAAACCTGCAAGGACGCCGCCAATTACCGTCTATGAACCTGCGAAGCTTGCAGTGTGTGAGGATGCGCAGAACGAGGCGCTCAGCGCTCTGCGTCCAGTTAATCATCCGGTATGTCAGAGGATGATGCTAGCTAGTGTGCCAGTTTGAAAGGTGGGAAGTAATCTGACGCCAAGGAAGTATTTTTTTTCCAATGCCGCACAGACTTTAAAACACAATGTAGCCTTTCTTTCAACACTTTACCCACCAGCCGGACTTCCCTTAAGTGCACGTCTCTCTCAATGTCCGGAATGCTTCCATGTCCCTGTAACAGAGAGGAGAGCAGGTGTATTTTGTGGGGCAGTTGTGAGGATTAATGGAGATTAGCCGATTATGCCTAAAAACAGGGCCTGATTAGTAAATTCAAAATAGCCCATGACCAACGACAAACTGTTGCACAACAAATCTTATTCATTTCTTCCAAACATAATTATTAAGTTTTTAAAGGGTAGGGGAATGAATTTGAGACAAGCAAGTTGACCAAGTCCATTCTGAACATAGGATATTTCCCAGGCATTCTCTTAGAAATCTGTATAGAATTGAATCACTTGTCAATCTAATGTATCCTCTGTCACTCTAGCTGCCTGTGTGATTGTTATCAAGTTTGGGGCCGAAGCATGTGCTGCAAAACGGGCCCAGCCATCCATCGTCAATAAAATTTAAAAAGTCAAATAGCCGGGCGGTGGTTGCACACGCCTTTAATCCCAGCACTTGGGAGGCAGAGGCAGGCGGATCTCTGTGAGTTTGAGGCCAGCCTGGTCTCCAAAGCGAGTTCCAGGAAAGGCGCGAAGCTACACAGAGAGAAACCCTGTCGCGGGAAAAAAAAAAAAAAGTCAAATGGGGGGAAAAAAGATTTACTCAATGTGGCCACATTGGGAAGCTGGACAAAGCACCAGCGAACCTCCTTTCCCGAGTCTGTCTTCAGGGTTCTGGGGATTAAAATTTAAATAGGGGGTCAAGGGTTTCCAGTCCAAGTGTGGTCCTGCCTGCCATTGACCCACCCTTAAGGTGGTTTGAGAAGTTGTTAGAACTGTGGAATCTTGCAGGACATGGTGGCACATGCGCCTTTAGTCCCAGCATTTGGGAGACAGGCAGGCAGATCTCTGAGTTTGAGGCCAGCCTGGTCTACAAAGAGTTCCAGGACAGCTGGGGGTTACACAGAGAAACCCTGTCTCAAACAAAACAAGTAGAAAAGAACTATGTGAAATCTCTTTCTGCGAGATGAGTTGTCCCTCTGGCTGGGGCCTTTTCCTTCTTTCAGTATGAGATTCCTGGAGAAATTCCCATTTCTTTGGATTCTGTTGTCTCAACAGTCAAGAGAGACACAGTGTCTTTAGGATGCCTTCACTTCTGCCAGGCCTGTTGCATGATGAAGTCCAGATCCCTACATGGAGTCACATGGTAGGCCCTTCTGGTCTAGCCCTAGCTTACTGTCTCAGTCCTATGGTGTCTCACTGACAGTGGCCTGTGTTCCTATATGCAGTGAGTTGAGATTCCTGCACTACTTAGTGTATATGGTTTTTTACCCTCTGGTGCAATAACATTATCATTCTGTGACTATCTTGGAATAGGGATAGTGTGCTGGGTACCCAAACCTAGACATATGTGGGAAGAGGGAATCTTAATTGAGAAAATGCCACCGTTAGATTGGCCTGTAGACAAGTCTGTGGGGGTACTTTCTTGATGGATGACTGGTGTGGGAGGGCCCAGCCCACTATGGGAAATGCCACCCCGAGCAGATGGTTCTGGGGTGTATAAGAAAACAAACTGAGCAAGACAGGAGGAACAGACCGGCAAACAGCACTCTTGTGAGGTCTTGGCTTCAGTTCCTGCTGTCAAGTTCCTGTCCTGGCTTCCTGTCATGGTAGACTGTGATTGGGACAAGTAGCCCAAAATAAATTCTTCTCCTTCCAAGTTGTTTTTGGTTGTGTTTTATCACAGCAATAGAAACCCTTACCAAAACAGACAGCTTTGGTCCAGTTGCCATGGCAACTAAAGAAACCCACCAACCTGGCAATAGAAGAAAGCTGTTAACACTACATAGCTGTGATGGCTATCTTCATTGTCAACTTGACTGCATCTAGAGTGAACTAAAACCCAAATGGCTGGGCACGCCTCTGGGAGATTTTTTTTTCTTAAATCATTTGAAGTGTGAAGACCCCCTCATCCGGATCTTTGAAGTGGAAAGATCCACCTTTAATCCAGATCTTTTGAGGTGGGAAGATCCACCTTTTAACTGGGCCATACTTTCTTCTGGCAGCCTATAGAAAGGAAACGGGAGAGGGAAGCTTGCTCTCTGCCTGCTTGCTTGCTCTCACTCTTGCTGGCAAGTCCGTCCCTTCACTGGCATTAGGGACTATTTCTTTGGGAAATACTCCAATGTATACTGAAGACCAGCTGAGATAGCCAGCCTCATGAACTAAACAACTACTTTGACCTTCTGGATTCTTGGGCCTTCCGTTCATAGGCAGCCTGTGTTGGATTAGCTGGACTTCAGCCTGTAAGCCATTCTAATAAATCCCCTTTATATATATGACTTCCCTGGGCATGGGTGGTCCAGCAGCAGTGAGAATATATGAATATATGTATAGTCATTCTAAGTACTGTTCCTCTAGAGAACCCTGCCTAATACAACAGAAGAAGATGGACTGGAAGAGGAGGGCCACTGACTCTTCACATGGGATTCTGGCCTTACTTCTCAGCCTTCAGCTGGTATCTGAGAAGATACTAGCAGTACGTGGAAGGTAGAAAGTTAACTAAAAGTGGGACCCCATGATACACTTTCTGTGAGACTGACATCTGTAATGGACTAGGACTTTGCAGCTGCTTTGGGGTCACCTGCACACCTGCAAGTAATCACTTACCCATGCTCCTGTAAGTCAATAAACTCACTTGTCCACCAAGTTGGACTTTGGTGGGATCATTCCTTTGGTCTGTTGGTGGCCTGTTTGCAGTGAATAGACATTTATCAACATCATCCCAGAAGTTAACACAGCAGCTACTCTGTTAGTTCACTTGGGCTGCTGTGACAAATCCCCACCAATCCAATACTTTAAAAACAATAGAAATTTGGGGCTGGAGAGATGGCTCAATGGTTAAGAGCTCTTATTGCTCTTGCAGACCTGGGTTTGGTGCCTAGACTCACAAGGCAACTCACAACTGCCTGTAACATCAGTTCCAGGGAACCCAGGGTTCTGACCTTTGCAGGCTTATGAACTTTAGGAGTCTCTGTCTCTCTCTGTCTCTCTGTCTCTCTGTCTCTCTCTCTCACACACACACACACACCAACCCCCAGAAATTTCCTCTCTCCCAGTTCTGGAGGGTGGAAATCCAAAATAAAGGTGTTGTTAGGCCCCTGTCCCCTGTTGGGGAGATGGGATTCTTCCCTCCTAGCTTCTGACATTTTTGCAGATCCTTGGCTTTCCTTTCTTTATAGATTTACCACTGTGGTCTCTGCCTCTGTCATCATGATGGTGTTTTCCTCTCTTCAGTATGACACCAGTATGTGTCTTCAGTTTGACACTAAGTATGATGCCCACATGTAATATCAGTACTTGGAAGGCTGAGGCAGGAGGATTAGGTTTTGTAAATGGAGTGCCTGAATATATGTTGCCTGTAACTATCAATGCCAATAGACAAATACAGGAGTCTTTAACGTATGCTTTGCTCAGTAACAATCTGGGAGGATAGTGTTAATCCCACTGAATGAGAGAGTAAAGATCACCACCCAAATTAGCCAATTTATGGCACGCTTTGTTATATATGCACAATATAGCTGGCCCAGTGACTGCCTCTCCCTAAATGGGACTTTAGAGGTCAGCTTTGAACACAGGAGAAAGTGCAAGACTAGGAAGTTTCTAAGGGGTTTTGGTTATGTAGGGACTTGTCAGAACATCTCAAAAAATTTGTTTTTTTTTGTTTTTTTTGTTTTTTTTGTTTTTTTTTTTGTTTTTTTTTTTGTTTTTTTTGGTTTTTCGAGACAGGGTTTCTCTCTCTGTGTAGCTTTGCGCCTGTCCTGGAACTCACTTGGTAGCCCAGGCTGGCCTCGAACTCACAGAGATCCGCCTGGCTCTGCCTCCCAAGTGCTGGGATTAAAGGCGTGCGCCACCACCGCCTGGCCTCAAAATTTTTGACAGAACATCTTATCAGGGTGGAGGTCAGGGGATAGGGTGGGAAACATGTCAGATTCCAGAAAATGGGTCAAGACACAGTCAAGCCTAAGTTTTACTGAAAGCAGGAATGAACTTATTTTGACCTTGTAACAAAATGGCTTCTAATCTTAAAATGGAGTCAGGCTGGTTCATCAATAGAAGATTACTTCCTCAACTTTGACATTTCTCTCATCTCCAGCTAGCATACTTTACAGAGAGTGGGAACAAAGACAGCTGGGCATTCCAAAGGTCAGTCTTGTCTTTGAGATTTGGGTGTTTATCTTTTGTCCTTATTGCCTCCTTATTATTCTGTCTGTGGCCTAAGGTCTCCATGCTCCCAATGCTGAACAGACATACTGATAGCAGCATGTATGTTTAGACAAGTCTCTAAAATATGAAATGCAAATGTGCCTCCATAGTATGTGATACAAATTTGTGGCTACCCAGCTTTCTTCTCTAATATCAATTTGAGGCCAATGTATGCTATGTAGGATCCTGTCTCAAAAAATATCCATACTTGTTATTTTGGGGGTTGGGTATTTGTGATGCTGGTATGGCATTTGTGATTCACAAGACCCTCAGGAATGTAAATCCATCCAGCTCTACACACACACACACACACACACACACACACACACACTCGGGGCAGGAGAAGGGGGAGGATTGAGAGAGATATATTGAGATTGTTCTAAAGTGTGACCATCATTTAGGGCCCAAGACAACTACAGTCATCACTGGGCACACACCGGCTGCCATTTCAGAGTTGGGAGGAGGCCAAGGGATAAAGCTCGGAGAGCAAGGCAGGAGCACACCAGGCAGGGAGGTCTTACAAAACCTAATCCTCCTGCCTCAGCCTTCCAAGTACTGATATTACATGTGGGCATCATACTTAGTGTCAAACTGAAGACACATACTGGTGTC